TGTCTATGTAAATATTTACAGTAATGTAGCAGTACAGTTAAACTTGCGAAGGTTAACTACGTGCGCAAGTCAAATAATTTCTAACAATATTTCAATGGCATTTTGGATTCGACTTGGACAAGTTTAAATGTACGTCACAGCGGTATATATGAAGAGTTGCACCATTCAGCCGTCCTTAGTTAATCTTGGTCGTCAGTGGGGAGAAAAAATACTATTTACTGTATATTTTCTACATATTAGACTATATATGAAATCAACTAAATAAGCCACTGATACCCCTCTAAATTGTGATATTTTCCGGGGATCGGCCCCGTGGTCTGCTTTCCAGACATGGTAGTGGTTAAGTTCTATCAAAGAGTGAAATTTGTAAAAAAAAAAAAAACATGTACAAATATGGTCATGACCATATTATAAAGGCACATGATGGCATGTAAGCTTAACAGTTGGACCCAGCATATACCGTATTTAGATGCTACTGTACAAGTTCAATTTTTCAACACTTTATTTGGCAAAAACCAGCACTTATCTCCTAAATATCACGGATTTACGATGAGTTGTAAAGCTCCAATATAAAGACAAAATCACAAAAAGTTTAAAAACACAAATATTGTACAGTATAAGAAAATAGCACTTAAAATTGAAATACCTTTGTTTTTATATCAACATAATCATATTGCATTTCTGATGAGTTGTCAAGCAATTATAAAGGTGGCAAAAATTGCACATTAAAATTGAAATTCATTCGTTTTCATGGTAGTTGGTATGAAAATATTACACAAGTACAGTAAAAATAATACAAACTATAAAAATACAAATATGCAAAATAGCACTTAGGTAGTTGGTATGAAAATATCACACAAGTACAGTAAAAATAATACAAACTATAAAAATACAAATATGCAAAATAGCACTTAAAAATAATCATACTGCATTTCTGATGAGTTCTATTATAAAAGTGGTAGTTGGTATGAAAATATTACATAAGTACAGTAAAAATTAAAATAAAAACTATAAAAATACAAATATGCAAAAACAGCACTTGAAGTTTAAATATCTTTGTTTTTATATTCCATATAATCATATTGCATTTCTGATGAGTTGTAAAGCTATTATAAAGGTGGTAGTTAGTAAAAAATACAAATGCAAAAATTGCACATTAAAATTGAAGTTCATTCGTTTTCGTGGTTGTTGGTATGAAAATATTACACAAGTACAGTAAACGTTAAAATACGAAATATTGAGATGATTACATTACATTAATCATAAACCACTATTTAGCTGGCCTAAAAATGAGTTTGGTTGGTACTGATGTTGGTACTGCTGGGGCCGCATGGCTGCTGCTGCCAACGCCTCTAAAACTCCGATCAGCCGTTCTTGATTTGCTGCAGTACGTCCCATCATCTGGGTCTGTTGTTCCAGTTGGTTATCTATTGCTTTCTGTATCTTCCCTAATACCTCCATCTCATCCTTTCTCGCCTCCCTCAATTCTCTCGCATTCTCGTCATGCATCGAACGAAGGCACCTATTCGTCTCCCGCATCTGGTCCTGCAAATGCTTAGCAAGTGAGCGTACACTCTGTTCACTTTTTTTGGTAGCTGTTTCATTGCGACATGCTGGCCCTGTGACATGAACAAAGAAATTTATAACAGAGTATTCAACTGGAAGCGGTTACTCACTGAAAAAAATCCATTGATACACAGGATAGCAACTGCAATTTATAGCTACAAACCGCTGTTTTGGTGCATGTTTATGACTAAACTAAAATTACCTGGGTGAAACACATTCTCATTTTCCTGAACACCAGATGTATGTGCAGGGCTTGGAGGCGTTTGCCGGACTGGGGTCGATGTCACCTTTTGTGTAGGGATCAATGTTGCTCGTCTCACAGGGTTGGAAGATGCTCGCCTCACAGGAGTCTCGAATGAGACATCTGGAAGCTTGGAATCGGAGTCCATCACAAATTCAGCCGGAAGTTCATTATGGTCCTCCTCGTACCAACCTTCAAACCCTAAAATAAAAAATATAATTAAAACCCTTAAGTTCATATTTGGCAATACACTGTAAACCCTAAAATAAAAAATATAATTAAAACCCTTAAGTTCATATTTGACAATACATTGCTATTACAACGAAAAGCACACAACGCATCATCTTTGTTGTTCATTCTCTCTCTAGGGTAGTGCATATAAATAAAATAGTGCAATAATTTACCTTAAAAAAAGATATAACTTTAATTTGAACAGAGTTTTGTACTTTCTTCCATACATAAATGAGAATAATTTGTAAAAACATTTTCTATTACAGCAACACAACATGTGTAATTACAGTAAAATTGATACACACCTAGTACACGCCGTTTCTTTGGTGGCAGATCACTTTTGTCATCACCTTTGTGAAAAAATTGAAATAAAAAGAAAATGTAACTGTAGAGTAAATTCTTTAAAAAACCAAACACCCTAGTGTCTATAAAGTCTGGTTTAGGAAAGACATTTGACCTTTAAAAAAATTTGATGTATACAGTTATACAGCCCCGAAGAGTTAATTGAAAGGCTTCAATTGCAATAACTGATAGTATTTACCGTCAATAAGACAGTATGATGCATTGTGAAATATAGACACAGTGGAACTGACATGCTTCAAGTACAAAACCTATAGTGTCGGTTCAGGTTTGATTAAACTGTGCTGAAATGCCGACAAAACCAGTAGGCTAACTAAACAGTAACAGAAACATGCAATTTCCTAAATTACCTTTAGAGCAGCTTTTACAGGTTACAAGGCAGCCATACCCTTCTTCCTGTGAATCTCTAGGCACGCTACATGGGGGAATCTGATGGCAGGGGTGACAGCAATCACCACACTTATGGTCTCCACACGGCATCTTGCAAGTGACACAAATTGATTCTGCAAACAAATTAAATGCTTTACTATTTGGACATGAATGAGAACAATACAGAGGATAATGAAACAAAATATGTGAGGCAACACAACATTAACACATTGTACACTTTTCGTTGAACTTGCATTTTATGGAGAAATAATATAGACTGTATACCAA